GTTGGCCCAGGATCGAGCATTGTTTCGTTCTGCTGTGCATGGGGTCGCTATGAGTCGGTTCCGACTCGATGGCACCTGACAACAACAACAACAACAACAATAGCATGTCACTTGAAATTTACACATTCATAACATCCTAATGTTTAAGGTGAACCTTTTAAATTGGGAACGTAAACTAACAGAGAAATAGCAGAAGTTTTTATTGAAAGAAAAAATAGTGAGCATATCTGTGAAAATCTTCTAAATCTTTCAAAAAGAACTTAACAGAGCAGCCACCAAAGGCTCAGTGTTGCATTATCTGTTAATTCACAAAGATGATTTAGAAAATACTAAAATTTAAAACTGGGTTCTAAAAAGTTTCACCAGTTGTCATGTTGGATTGCTGTAAATCCTTGTTTTAAAAAGCAAAAGTTTGTTCTAAAGGAAAATAAGGGTGAAAGTCTTTAGTAAGTGTCCTTACTTTTTACGTTTCCTCACACATTTCACTCTTTAAAAAAGGTAATTTGCAAGGTAAGGGTTTTCATTGTGTGATCAATAATTTTTCTTAAAATAAATAAGCATAAGGCAAATTTCTTTTGGGAATTCATGCATTTAAAAATTCTTCTTTACCAAACATTAACAAAATTTATTATTATTATTATTATTTAAACAAAATCATTGATATATTTTGCTATTGGCTTTGGTCGGAAAACTACTTCCAGGTACCTGTGTTTTGATAAGCTATCATTGCGTTAGTGGACGTTTAGGTATCTGAGAACAAACGTAGCCCCCCCCTTTTTTTTTTTCTGTCATTATACATTTTTTTAGAAAAAGATTGGGAGCTCTGATTCATGTAATTCTGTTGAATACTTCTGGCAGTCTCATAATGTTTAATTTTGGACTGCAATTTACATCTCTCCCACTACTACACATTTCACCAAGCTCCGACAGAGTTGACTGGTAGCAGATGTGAACTTTGAGTGGGGTAATTTGAGACGGTTCCCAGGAGTTAGGCGGAAGCCTGAAACTTTAAAATTTGATGTAGGTTAACGTCCATTTCTCCAGGTGATCCCCTAACTGATTGGAAGGAACGAAGTGGGTGGAGCCTCCTGGCCTGTCCCTCGTGCTTCTGTCACTAGGGACGCAGCTCCCAAAGCAACAGCAATGGATCAGGAAGAGGGGCTGACGGCCGTCGACAATATAGTCACTCAGTTCAACACCTATGAAGATTTCCTCAACTCGCAGATCTCTACTGTAGACTTGTACTACCTGGAGGTAAGCGCTGCAGCACCGCCCCTCACCATTATGCCTGAGACTTGGCCACCGCCCAGCAAGTCTCTCTGTCAATAGCAGACTGAGTCTCTAGTAGTGGGGCATCCGCCCTCTGGCGGTGGACCACTCGGATTTCAGGATCCACAGTTTGGCAACAGCGGTATGGAAACAGCTGAGAAAATGAACTTCTGAGTCTGGGGACGTCCTGTCACTTAATACAGAAACAAACACACAAATGAGCATGCTGGGGAGTGTTGCATTTCTCTTCCTCACCTTCCTCCTCCCACCACACATCCCTTCCAAACTTAATGTTCTACGAGGATGGTCTCTGGAGTTGGAGAACAATTGAGACTTCTTAGTTGTTATTGTTAAGTGCCATTGAGTTTGTTCTGAGGAGCAGCTGGTGGGTATAAACTGCGGACCTTGTGATTCGCAGTCCAGTGCTGATCCTACAGCGCTACAACAGAAGTCCTTTGTTGTTGTTGTTAAGTGCCTTCATGTCGGTTCCTACCCATAGCGACCCTGTATAAGGGTTTCTAAGGAGTGGCTGGTGAGTTTGAACCGCTGACCTTGTGGTTCAAACCGACCTTGCAGTCCAGTGCATTAACTCACAGCGCCACACCAGGACTGGTGGGGTGTAATTTGGGATTGACATCCAGTTTCTCTTTCTTTTGCCAATTTGTATTAGAGAACAGAAGACAGTATCCTTCTATGGCAAATGGCAACATCAAAGAAGTATGCTGTTAAGTGCCGTCTAGTGGGCTTCCACTCATAGCAAACTCATAAGGTTTCCGAAAAGTGTCTCCTGGTTACGGACCTTTCGGTTAGCAGTTCAGTGCTTATCCTACAGCAACATACCAGGACTCCCAAAGCAGTATGTTGTTGTTAAGTGCCATGGAGTAAAGTAAACTGGTGTCAAATTTGGCATACGGGTCCATAAGTGCCTACTGCAACCTAGCTGATTCAGGAAGCAAGAAGCCCTTTCATTACTGGTACAGGTTACAGGTACTTGTACAAGGCATACTCCTGATTCAGATTTATCCAATTGTTGATCACAGTCGATATTAGCAGTGCTATAGAGCATGGAATCTTATTTTTTGCCTCAAAGTCACTCTAGCAGAGCAGAACTTACTTCTATTTTGGCTATATTTTAGTGTCAGCTGCCAATTTTCCCTGAGAACCTCCTGTACCTCTGTTAGTTGAACTGCCAGAGTTAAACACAGTATATTTAAAGTTACGCTTAGGGGGGCACTTCCCCCAATCAGGCCTTTAATGGTTGCCTAGTTGTGATGTCATACACCGAGAGTTTAAGACTGTAAGCTTTCCTACATGCAACAGTCCCCTCCCTGCTCTGCTTAAGCCTGGCATGAACAGGTGACACATGGCTGCTGTTGGCAGTCATGCTTGTGGGAGATTACTTTGTTTCTTGTGTCCTGTATAAGGTCATGACAAGAAGCTATAACTTTGGAAACTCATCCTGGTGACTGTGATTCCCCTCCTCAGATGATTTATGTTTGTTCTTGTCTTATTTAAGTTTTGTTTAAATTTTAATTATGAATCTGTATAATATTTGTATTTTTGAAGATGGGGGTCTCTTTACTACTCTAAAACAGTAGTAAAAATACCATCATATTAATTTTAAAGCTCTGTGATACCCTATAATAAATTTGGACACAATGTCATTGAACCCTGGCTTTTGCACAAAAACCAATGCTGCTTCTCAAAGGAGCCCTGGTGAGGCAGTGGTCAAGCGCTCAGCTGCTAACTTAAAGGTGGGTGGTTCTAACTCACCAGCTGCTCCAGGGAGAAAAATGAGGGACACAATCTGGTAGCAAGGATTTGTAGTCTTGGAAACCCTGTGAGCAGTTCTACTCTGCCTTATAGGGTCAATGAAGTCAGACCCATAAGGGTTCCAAACAGTTATAGGCTGACGACAGGCTTGTAAGCTTTCTGTAAACATGTTTCCCTACCTTCCTTTCTATCCAACTCAAGTGTCCATTTTACAATAGTAGGCAAGGGAAACCAATATACATAAGACAGTCAAGCATCTTATTATTATTTCCCTTCTTCAAACTGTGCCTTGATCCTTGTAACACAGAACCCTGTTGTTCCAATGTTGAGCATGCATCACTATCTACCACTGTCTTATTTAGCCCATGCAAACCTGTCTCAGTGTTCCCCTATCTTTTCTTTTAACCCATCCCCCTTCTTGCATACTGCCCTCCCCAACACTGGAATTATGATGTGTCTGCCCCTACCCTGTGTTTTACCGTTGCCTCCCTCCACCTCCCCAAACCCGCCTACTCCAACCCCACTGGTAACCAACAAAGACTTTTTTTAGTATGGTTATCTTTTCTTAAGCTGTTGGGAGCCAGCTTAATCTTATTTGGGGGTCCTAGAGGGAGGTATGACGCCGGTGAAGAAATGAAGCTCACAGAATCAGTGGGCCTTGTTAGATGGTGAACCTTCTCCTCTCACATTTTATTTGTCCTCTTTTTTCCTTCACATTTTATTTCTCCTCTTACTTTTATTTCAGATTCTCAAACAGCTTTTATACTACTCTATGCCATCAATCTATTAATCATTCTTTTCAAAGTAGTGGTCTAAATCATACATATTAATCATTTCAATATAGAACATCAAGAATATCAAAATCTTCCTTGTTCCCCTTTACGTAGTTAGACAATATTTGATTTCTGTAAGCAAAGCTCATTGCTCTAAAAATGTCACGTTAACTTTAAAAAATAATTCTAAATCTTAACTCCTATTTCTAGCTTCACCTATTATTTTCTATGGATTCATTAATCACAACATGTACCTAGACATTATTTGCTATAATAATTGACAACACAGTTGTTTCTCATGTTTGATTAAACAAGAAAAACAAGAAGCATAAAGTTTTGTAGTTAAGAAGAAATGGAGCAACTTCCTTATAACTTCTCTACACAAAACATCTGGTTAGATTTCTACTTATGATCTAATACTATTCCCTTAGCCCTCAATTGCATTTTTTGCTAATTTTCTAAAGGTCTTGATGTCCCTGACCGAAACTACACAGAATGTTGAATGTAATCTTAAACTTGGACTGGCAAAAACTTTAGCTGGTTTTTCCTAGTGGTGAAACCTATTGTTAGTGTGAAAAGCATTCTTTAGGACTATGCATGATTGAATATGGTGTGAATGTGCCTAAAAACAAGTTTCAAATCTCTAATATAATTCTTACTAAGATTCTATAATTATGGTCTTATGAAATATTTGTTCTTTTGTGACTGACTAATTTCACTCAGCATAATGTCCTCAAGGTTCATCCATGGTGGTTGCAGCTTCCTTGTTATTCTTCAAGGTAGTGAATATTCCATTAAGTACCAAAGTTTGTTTACCCATTCTTCCATTGATGGGCACTTAGGCTGTCTCAATCTTTTTGCTATTGTGAATCCTGCTGCTATGAACATTGGTGTGCATGGATCTCATTGTATTATGGCTCATATTTCTTGTGGATATATGCCAAGTAGGGGAATTGCTAGATCATATGGTATTTTTATCTCCAATTTTTTGAGGAAGTGCCATACTGTTTTCAAGAATGGTTGGACCAGCAAAGTAGGAGGGTCCCAGGATCTCTATATCCTCACCAGCATTTATTATCCTCTGCATTTTTGAACTTTGCTGTTATTGGTGGTGTGAGATGTTATCTCATTGTTGTTTTGATTTGCATCTCTCTAATGGCTAATGGCTTTATTGACTATGCAAAGGCTTTCGGTTGTGTAGATAGATCATGACAAGCTCTGGACAACATTGTGAAGTATGAGTATTCTGGAACACTTAATTGTGCTCATGAGGAATCTGTACCTGAACCAAGAAGCGGTTTTTCAAACAGAACATGGGAACACTGAATGGTTTACAATGAAAAAGCTGTATGACAAGGTTGTATTCTTTCACCATACTTATTCAACCTGTATGCTGAGCAAATAAAATCCAAGAAGTTCAGTTGTATGAAGAAAAATATGGCATCAGGATTGAAGGAAGACTCATTAACAACCTGTGATATGCAGTTGATACAGCTTTGCTTGCTGAAAGTGAAGAGGACTTTAAACATTTACTGATGAAGATAAAAAAAACACAGCCTTCAGTATGGATTACATCTCAATGTCAAGAAAACAAAAATCCTCACCACAGGACCAGTAAACAACATTTTTATCAATGGAGAAAAGATTGAACTTGTCAAGGACTTCATTCTTCTTGGATCAACTATCAACACTC